TATTCGTTTGAAATGTATTAATCTATAAAAAGTCTTGATAAGTATCTTAATGAAAAAAATTCATTATACTCTATATAAACAATTTAAAGAGCTTAACTAAAAGCTCTCTAAATTAATAACATTTTTCAGAAATTTTAGACTGAAAAAAGTGTTAAAAAATGATATCAGTTTTTGTATCGTGAGAAGAAAGGCACTTGTATATAAAATGCATAGTAAGATAAACTGTAAATCTTTAGTTCATTATGGTACCGTATGTTTCATGCGGATATTCATTTCTTCGTTACAGTTTTCCGTCGCATAAAAATTATTCTTTGCATATAAATTACACTCACTCGCATACACACATCATGCATACATACATACATATATTCGTACATAGCAGTCTAAGTTATATGGCAGTATTATAATATCATACTTAACGGATAATTTGATAAAATATCATACTACATTAGTTTCCATTAAATACTTACGAAGTACAATATTAAAAACTAGACTAATTTACTGCTGAAGCTTGCTCCTCTGCACGATAGAGTTCATCGTTTGCCGTTTAAATATTAACCAGTTTAAAATTTGTATAAAAAACAAAATTTACCGTAATGTAATGGTTGTGCTTGCTTTATTCAATATGGATTACCTTCTTCATTTTCCAGCATATGTTGGATTTTTGAACGTCGACGTAGCTTGCTTATAAATTGGATTTTCTCCCTATTAAAAAATATTTATAATGAAGTACTTTGCAGTTCATTCTAGTACAATAGGATTTACGAAATTGTTCAAAGTACTTACTGTATCCCATTTGGCCATCATTCTGTCCTTTTCAAATTTAGCAAACTCTCTTCTATCGTGTATAGTTGTTAGTAATTTCCACAAAAGTAGCAGTGCAAGTCCAATTAAAACAATTGCTGCTATTACGCCTAGTACTATGCCCAACATATAAACTTGCGGCGGACATTCTCTTTCTTTCTGTGCACGTACTTTTAAACAGTTTGTTTCGTCATAATAGGAAACAAAATTATATTTACAATCGTCCTCGTCTATTCCAAAGCATAACTCTTCATTTTTATCAACATCTTGTATAACTATTTCAACTGGCTCCGGAACAAACTCTTTGCAGTTTTTAGCACATTCTTCTTTATCACTAAAGTTTCCAGTACCATACATCTGACACAAGACACAATTTTTCAACTCTTCACAACGACTTGGACAGGTCGGACAATTATTGCAGAATTTTCCAGAATATCGTATATTTCCTTCTTCGTGGCATATACATTCGCCGCACACACAATCTCCCTATACGAATAAATCAATCAAAGTTACAACCGTATGATATTAGTTAGTAACTATTAAGAAAAATATTCTATAATATTTTGACTCTTACATGTCCCGAGCACAATATTCCACTTTTAGTACCACGTGGAATACAAGTTTCATTAGAAGACTTGCAATTGCAGGATGGTCCCGACCAACCACCATGACAGACACATTGTCCACATTCACAAGTTCCATGATCCGAGCACAACACACCTTGATCTCGATCGCATGAGAAATTATCGCACTCACAGAAATGACCTGATATTATCTATAAAAAAAAAATACAGTCACATTCAGAAATCAGTTTCAACAACTGAAATAAAAGTAAACTTGTATATATATTTACTTCTTTAGGATTTTCTCTTTCTTCACACTCGCATTGACCACAAGCGCAAGTTCCTCGTCCTGAACAATCTA